CCATCGTACACTAAACAGAAAGGACTATCAGAACCTCCTTGATTCTCCTAATAGCAATGATGGCCTGCTTTTGAATAGTCCCAGGATTAATTAACCATGGAAAACAAAAGCAAGTTCTCCTAACAGAACCTCCTTGGTTCTCCTAAAATCAAAACCAATCGTTGAAACTAATAGGAGGCTAAACTGCCTAAACACACACGCGCGCGAGCGCGCATACATCAGACATCTCTATAGTACCAATTCAGGTAGATCAAGAAAATGAAAAGCCGAATAGCATGGCATATATAGAATTGTAGATTAGTATCTGGTATAACCAGAAAAGTTGAAGAGCATCCAAACACACAAACACCTCATACCAAATTATAATATTCAGCATAGGGCACACACTACAGTATCTCTGAATCCATATCTAAAGACTGCAGTTATTGCTGAATGGCATATATATGAACAAAATGCTAAAACGGACATATATAATCCTTACTGGCATGGATATCAAGGAGGTCGGCCACCTGCCCTCTTTCATCAGTCACATGAGGTAGTTCAGACACATGTCTCGGCACCCCATCAACAATAATCCTGCAATGATATATTCGAGATGTCAGAACCAACGATACAGCATGATCTTTCCCAGATCTCTGTAACACCTTTTTGAAGTAATCATATTGATTTTTTAGTATTTTAGCATGTCATTTCCAGAACTGTATAAAACATTTCAAGAGCAGATTAGGTAAAGGGTAAACCTTGATGTCCAGTTATCCCATGATCCCTCCAGAAATGACCTCATTTCCTCCTTGACTCCATGTAATCAAAGTTGGAATTCCGTTTTCCAGGGGGCTATTGTTGGTGCATTCATCCGAGCCATTAATCCCTGAATGGTAAAAAAGGTGAAAATTCAGTCGGTATCGGCAACGGAGCTACTGGAACCTGTCAGGTTCACTTAACCGTGAGTGCAAGCAGGACCATCAATAATGTTCATACATGTTACATTTTTGGGCACCTCGTTAAAAATGTTCACAGCCCAAAAATGTAAAAACATAATGACCAAGAACTTCAGTCCACCTGCTGATATTTACCTACGGTGAACATGTTGGTTTTTTGATCTTGTACTCCGCCCACTCTGGCTCCGGATCATCTTCGTCTGCAAATGTTATCCCGGACGAAGCCTGCTTGATATACAGCCTACAGATATAAATCGCAGATACATCATTTAGGGACCAGGGTCCAAGGATGGGATCCACACAAAGATAGCTGTGTAAGCCATGGATGATCAAAACGCTTGCAGAAACAAGTTTAGAGCTTGACTTGACTGAAAATGGAGAGGAATGAACATATTAACTGAAGCATAGCAGAATGGTGGGATAAATACTATATGAATATCAGTGTCATCGGGAGCATTACGATTGCATGAGGATGATGAGGTCACCCTCCCCGTACGTGCTGGCGGACAGCCTCGTGCTGATCTCCTGCTACACCCTCCCGTGCGCATCCAATTGCTGCACAAAGCGCAAGAACACGGACATTTCTTAGGCAAACCATGAACCAAGAAAAAGGGAGGCTTTGGGGATTAAGGGGCGGAGGGCGTACGTACCTAGAAGATGCCGTTCCACTTGCCGGCGTTGTGGTCTAAGGAGGAGTCCGCGCCGGAGAGGCGATCTGTCGGGGCGAGGACGACGGCAACAGCGACGTGGACGGCCGTCTCGGCGGCCGACGCTCGTCCCGGCGATGGCGATGCGTGGCCGTAGCCCCCGGCGTTGGTGGTGACGGCGATGGCGATGCGTGGCCGTAGCCCCCGGCGTTGGTGGTGACGGCGATGGCACGCGCGCAGAGGTGGCCGCCGGGCCTCTCGTACGGCAGCGCCCAGTCGCCAGCCTTCCTCCTCTCGCTGGCGCTCATGGTCGCCGTGTCCAGGTGATGAGGCTGGGGGCGGCGCCAGGGGGAGCAGCAGCGACGGGAGAGGATGGGGAGGCGGCGCGAGGGGGAGAAGGGAGGGAGGGGACGGAGGCTAGGGTTCTCACCCAATCGGCACCTTCCTTGCCTCATCCGACCATGGGCCAACCAGCGCCCAACACGCACGAAGAGGCAGGACGTGAAAAGACGAGAGTGCCCTCGGCGGGGCGCGTGATTTACGTGCGGTGGTACGAGATCTTTACAGCGGGGGTAACTATTCATTGTTACAGCTCTTTTTTTTATCCGACAGCCCAGCTCTTCCAGCGGCTTGATCCAACGCACGAAAACGCATCAAGCAAACGGATCGGACGGCCAGAATCGCCTGAGCTCTGAGGACGTCCGGGAGTGACTCGATCTCTTATTTCTCGATACTTTGCTCCTTTCTATAAAACTATGATATGTCATTAGTGTACTCTTGAAAAAATACAATCACAATTGTGAAGCCCTCTTTCTCATGTCGTTATGCCCCGTGAGTACAAATGCTCGATCTATTCTCAAAAAATGACTTGACACTAGGTTCAAAAAGAAAAAAAGACAACATCGCCAATTCTCCAGTCCACGGTCCAAAACGCCAGAGACGTGCACCGCTTGCCTGCAGCGGGTGCGGGACAGGTGTCCCTGTGCACCTTTCGTCAGTCGTCCGATCGACGGCCACCTCCACGCCTCACGGCACACCGGGCGGCTCCCGCGCCCCGCTCCGCTCCGCTCCTGGTGATCTTGTCACCTTCCTTGTCCTGATACGGTGCCAACGCTTGTGGGGCTATGGGGGCTTTGGCTCTGACACATCGGAGCGGCGAGCACGAGCGCGATGGCGGCGGTGGCCGAAGCCGGGAGGGCGGAGGGGGCGAGCCTGGTGTCGGCGGTGCGGGCCGTCGCGGAGATGGCGCGTCCGGCGTCGAGCACCGCGGCGGCGGCTGGGGTGAGCATGGCGGCGGTGATCCTCAAGGGGAATGACACACCATTCGGGTCGGTCGGGTGGTGGGCGTACGCCGGCATCTCCTGCTTCCTGGTGTTCTTCACCGGGATCATGTCGAGGCTTACCCTCAGGCTCAGGTCGCTTGGCCTCGTTGAGCTTGAGATGCTCGAGATCCTCCAGCGCAGCGGCACCCACTCCGAGAAAGAACATTTGCGCTTTCCCGAAAAAGTGAAAAGGAAAATTCTGCTTCATGATTATGGTTTTTTGTTTATTTCTTGTTTGTTCCTGATTTTTATTCCCTTTTTTGTTTATGTTTTTTTGGTTCCTGATTTTTTTATTCCCATTTTTTCGGTTCTTTTAGAACTTATTAACATGTGATATAGTGTTGAAGAACTTGACGCGAAAAAGGCAGCGGAAATGGTTTATGATTATGACAGATGGTTTAAGAGATGAAATGTTTTGGGAAATAAATATATGAAAAAAGGCAAAAAAAACTCACAGGTTGTGACAAGTGTCCAATGCGCCACTTGTAACCATGGAGAAGATGAGAATCAACCTTTGGAAGGGCATCTCCAATGCAAGCCCTCAAAACAGACACCCCGATACGTGGGAGGGAGAGAGAGGAGGACATAGTGTGTGGGGTACGTGGTGGCTTTTGGTTCGTCACGTAGATGTTCAGACTCCCGGATAGCTTCGACAGGTTTCCTTCCAATATATCGGGAATCAGACATGTAGATTGGTCCGCGGTCATTTAGGGGACCCTATTGGATGGCAAAAGCGGTTCAGACACTATGATCTTAACATATATAGGCGCTTTGATGGTCCGCTTTGGAGATGTCCTAAATAAATTCGACCGTCAACTGCTTCTATCAAAAGTTGGATTGAGATAAGATTTCCTGAATAGCACTGGCAAGCTGAAGTTATGTGAGCATCTTTGGCAAGCACAACCCTCTAATTAGTGATTTTGGAAAGAAAAAAACAATGCATTGTTTTTTTAATAGAAACCAAGGCATAGTTTTTTTTTTAACAAAACCAAGGCATAGTTTCTACCCGGGTTGGTTTGGGCCGGGCTATGATGCTTTCACGCCGCATGATGTTTTTCTTTATGGATATGGAAGCATCAAGCTAAGTCAATAATTCCTGATGTTCTTTGGGTGACTTTTCTCAACAACAAAAAGAAGAAGGAGAAGAAGAAAGAACTGATGTCTACTCGTCACTAGATTATCTTTGGACTTCCCTAGAAAAGTGAGTATGTATGAGTTGCATTATCATGATCTCATGAATCATGATGCCGTAGAGATCCACGGTAACACAACACGTGAACAATTAGGCACGTCTGTCTCAAGCCCAAAGTCGTCCATAACTGAGATACTAGTACTGTGCTTTTTCGGAATTTGTCTAGCTAGCAGCAGTAGTTCGAGGTGCCTTGTTGACAAGAGCAATGGAGTGCTGCGTGTTGGAAAATAGCGTGTGTTGGCAAGACAGGTAGCATGTATTCCCCTCATCCGTAACTGTCAACGTCGTTATCAAAAGGCAGCACTAATGCACAAGATAATTTTTTGTACGTAGTAACAGTTGGGCAGACCAATAAGGCAATCACCCCATACGACATCTTTGATCTTACCATCAACATTGATGATCACTTCCATGTCAAACTATTGCCAAGCACCTGCATATACGATAATTTTTTCCCAATGTTTTCTCCGTGGTAGAATCGGCACATGGAAGGGAACATCACAATCTACAATCACATCATCAAAGTTGGCCATCGTGAAGCCCTCTTTCTCATGCCGTTATGCACCGCGAGCACAAATGCTGAATCTAGTCCCACCAGCGACTCAGCACACGTACTCCAGCCACCGCCAATTTTCCAGTCCACGGTCCAAAACGCCAAAGACGTGTACCGCCCGGCCGCAGCGGGTTCCCGAGCGGCGGGACAGGTGTCCCCGCGCTCCTTTCGTCAGCCGTCCGATCGACGGCCACCCCCACGCCTCGCGGCGCATCGGACGGCTCCCGCGCCCCGCTCCGCTCCGCTCCTGGTGATCCTGTCGCCTACCTCTCGCCCACATCCTTATACGGTGCCAGCGCTTGTCGGGCTGTGGGGCTTTGGCTCTGACACATCGGAACGGCGAGCGCGATGGCGGCGGTGGCCGGAGCCGGGAGGGCGAGGGGGGCGAGCCTGGCGGCGGCCGTGCGGGCCGTCGCGGCGACGGCGCGCCCGGCGTCGAGCGCCGCTGCCGCGGCGGGGGTGAGCGTGGCGGCGGTCGTCCTCAAGGGGAATGACACGCCATTCGGGTCGGTCGGGTGGTGGGCGTACGCCGGCATCTCCTGCTTCCTGGTGCTCTTCGCCGGGATCATGTCGGGGCTCACCCTCGGGCTCATGTCGCTCGGCCTCGTCGAGCTCGAGATCCTCCAGCGCAGCGGCACCGACTCCGAGAAGGCGCAGGCTGGTCCGATCCGAACCCCTAACGTTTTCCTCGCCGCCCCCTCGTTGTGCTCGATCTGTTTTCCGTTTAAGGAGTGATGATTTTACGAGGTATCGCGGTACGTTACATTTTGGGGATTGCGGGTATCGTTACTGAATGGTTGAAAATTGTGGTTTATACGCTGCCGTTTATGTTACGAATCGGAAGGATTTAAGGGCTCCGACCATGTCTGCTCATGTGCTAAATCATCTGCTAGTAAAATTTCCGGTTCTGGCAGTTCAAAAATTCGTCACTAATGATGACATGTTTCTAAAAGTGTTGTGGAAGGGAAGTTGGACTAACAAAAAGGTAGTGAGGAATTGGGGAAATGGGAAAAGGGGGTGTGGATGGGATTTGGCTTTTTGTAGGACTCACATCTTACGTGGGCAGATATGAAATGATCAGAGGATACTTTAGTCAACTGGGAGTTGGAAGTATTATGCAGTAGATATACTATAAAGATGTAATCTAGTGCTTCTTTGATCTGTCACATTTGTTTACAGGGTTGTCATGCAACTATGGCTGCTGTAACTTTTGGTGTTTTTGTTTATCCTTCTGATATGCTGTAAATTGACATAATCTGTCACGAGACATTACAGAACCTCAGACCTTCAGGTGGTAGGAATTTTCACTTGAAACGCCAAAGTGGCGATACTGCCTATCTCGTGTTACTCTTAACTGTCACCTCTTTCAGCAGGTTTCATTTAATGTGTGCCTCTACACTGATGCTACTATCACTTTTCTTCTTTTGAAAATCTGTAATTTAATAATCGGGTTTTGTCACTGTTCGTGTTTTAGTTACTTGTGTGTTTTGCTTGCTGCAGCTACTATCCTTCCAGTTGTTCAAAAGCAGCACCAACTTCTTGTCACCCTGCTACTGTGTAATGCTGTTGCCATGGAGGTACATAATTTGTTGCATTTTTTAACGATTTATCACACTATATTGCACTGTCATCAGTACATTTGTGCAAACATATTGCCTCTCTTCCAAGTTTCTAACTAGGATTCTGATGATCATATACTGGTAAACATGTTAAGATATGGTCTAGTGCAGACAAACGAATCGACAGAGAGAACTTCAATACACCACTTTTCTATCTGAACACATAAATGAGTTTAAAGACAGAGGTGTTGAGCTGAATAATATTATGCTACAGATACCCAGTGATTCCGATCTGCAACTTGGGTGCTCATCAGAATCTGCACACCATTTTACTTTAGTTGTACTATTAAAATTGCGGAGAAGAGGCTTTAGTTCTATGTTAATGCCTTGAAGAAAGTTTGGATGAGATTGACTGTCGTGCTTATTGCATCCTCTGTAGATTTATTCACGAAGTGGACAGTGCTATTGTATTTTTCATTTGTGATAGGATTGATATGCAACTGTCTATATTTCATTTTACGTGATTTTGCAAATTGGAAGTGCATGCTATGAGATAAAACATGCAGTAAGCACAATATAACTGGAGTGTTGACTGCTAAGTGGATTCATAACTCATAAGTCATACCATGTTGTCATATGCATACTTGTCCTAGGTATATTGTTTTTCAGCTATGCACAAAGGATCTTCTGCATTCATTGTTTCACATTTGCAAACCTTATTACGTAGTTCTTTCTCCTAGTACAGTTGACATGCATGTGCACTACTTGTTCGCACCATCCGCTTTATTCAGAATCATACATCCATTGGTAAATAGAGAATGCATTCTCTGGTACCTTTTGCACAATGCTTTGTTTTAGCCAGTAGTTTTTTTCATTTGTGCTCGTGGCCTTTGCAGGCTCTTCCTATATTCCTTGACAGGATTTTTCATCCTGTTGTCGCTGTTGTCTTGTCAGTGACATTTGTTCTTGCTTTTGGAGAGGTACTGCTTTCCAAACATTGTTATTATTTCGTGTTATTAATTCCTCTACAATGCCAGGTATGGTCTAATTAATTTCCTATTTTGGCACCAGGTTATACCACAAGCAATCTGTACTAGGTATGGGTTGGCGGTGGGTGCTAACTTTGTATGGCTTGTACGTATCCTCATGATCATGTGCTATCCTATTGCATACCCTATTGGGAAGGTAAAGAAATTTATATGTCCTTTTCAAGTTTGGTGCCTATGAGTTAATTGCATAGAATCTATGGTTTGGAAATCCCATGAATTAGATTATTACAAGGCTTATGCTCAATTTAGTGGCACAATTGATGGGCAGATTGGTATTTGGATTGCACTATCCTAATTGGAGATTCTGATAGTTAATGTGCAAGTTATTTCTAGTTTTTATGCTTTAGCCCTTGTAGCTCTGTATGTTTGTATGCTTCACAAATATTTAGCCCTGCAACAATTAATTTTATTAATTATTCCCTGTCATATGTTGAAACTTGAAAGCAGTGCTGCTAGATGTATCGAGAAGAACAGTTACTAGTGATTGTAAATATGGTTAATAGTTGGAATCCCATCATGCATCTGGCTACAGAAACTAGTAAAAGCATTGGAATTTAAGGGCTTAGTTTTGGTTCTGTGTTAAGTACATTGCAATTGATGGATTCAAAAGGGTACTTTTATTTCGGATTTTTTAGATATTTGTCCAGATTCTGAAGTCCTCATGTGTTCTTGGGATCGATTCAGTGGTCTTATTTCTTGTTTTTAATCGAAAATTGATATTGGTTCTTCATGAGTGACTTAACTTTTGTGGAACACCAACGATCTTCTGTGTGTTAACATTTAAGATTAAATTATCAATGAAATAACTCCTCTGATAAGGTCTAAGCTGATCACATTGGAACTCACTTATGCGCGGGGATATATATATATATATATATATATATATATATATATATATTTTGGTTGCCATTTTTTCCTGATAAGCCTGTCTTGAATAGCACAGTTTATGAAAATGCTAGCAGGCGATATGTCGGTGAGTCATTAATTGGGTCCAATTGGAGTCCAAGTTGGGTTCAGATTAGAGTCCAGCTACAATTGTAATCAAGCAGTATTTGTAAAGGTGTGAGGGTTCTGGCACTGCTATGGTACAACACACGATTATTGCTATAGACTCCAACAAGCCCTCACAGATTGACCCTTTGGTACATTCCATTGAGGATTTATGTCTGACACATCATATGAGCTTAGAGTAGGTTAATCAATGTCCTTCGTTGTAGTTGTATTGAAGCTTCTATTCACATGAGCAATGCATGATTACCGAATGTATCGTTTAAAGTTCCTGTGAGCATTTAATGCCCTATACTACAATTCAGTCCAGAATTTTGATGCAGTTTTGACATGTTGATGGGATCATGGGAGTTTGATTTCTTGCAGATTCGTATTTTCTTAGTATTTAGTAAAAACTAACTTGATTACAAATCTACAATAGGTATGCAAATTTTTGAACTGGAAAATAGTATGTGAATTTTGTGTTGTTGTGTTCTATTCTTTTTCTTATGAGTTTGAATTGTAGTTGATCTGATTTTTAAAGGGGTTATTGAAGTATTTGAAACTTTGATGTTATCCCAGCTCCTAGACTGCGCTCTTGGGCATAATGAATCTGCACTCTTTAGGCGAGCTCAACTGAAAGCTCTTGTTTCTATACACAGCAAAGAGGTACATGATATTAACATGTAACTTTTTACAAAGTTCACACTTTCTATCTAAGATTCTCTCATTTAAATGCTTATACCCTGGCAGGCTGGTAAGGGTGGGGAGCTTACCCACGATGAGACTACAATCATAAGTGGAGCTTTGGACTTGACTGAAAAGGTGCACATCATGTTTATAATTTGTCTTCTATTTCTATATGTAATGCGTAAGCATAATCTGAAGGCGACATTGGTAACTGGAATTCAAATAAACTTGGTGCAAAGTTAGATGTTGCTTGACTTACTATTTTCTATCTGTGACTAGTGCCTGCCTTTTTTGGCTTTTGGGGGAGAATAAAAGAAACTGAGCTACGATTCTTGTCTTTAGTCTCTTAACATTTGATGATGTGCTTGTATCTCCAATGATCTTGCCTGTAGAGGACTTTGATCTATTTCATGCTTTATAGCTCTCTTCGTATTTTTGATAAGTTATTTTGGGCGATTCT